ACCAAACTGATTTGAAGGCTCAGGAAACCTTTGCAGGTGTTTTGAGTTGATTAGCTGATTGGCATGTCACCATATTCTAATATTCTAATCTCATCTGAAAAGAGGACTTTGGACCACTGGGCAACAGTCCAGTTCTTCTTCTCCTTAGCCCAGGTAAGACGCCTCTGACGTTGTTTGTGGTTCAGGAGTGGCTTAACAAGAGGAATATGACAACTGTAGCCAAATTCCTTGACATGTCTGTGTGTGGTGGCTCTTGATGCCTTGACCCCAGCCTCAGTCCATTCCTTGTGAAGTTCACTCAAATTCTTGAATTGATTTTGCTTGACAATCCTCATAAGGCTGCTGTTCTCTCGGTTGGTTGTGCATCTTTTTCTTTCACACTTTTTCCTTCCACTCAACTTTGTGTTAACATGCTTGGATACAGCACTCTGTGAACAGCCAGCTTCTTTGGCAATGAATGTTTGTGGCTTACCCTCCTTGTGAAGGGTGTCAATGATTGTCTTCTGGACAACTGTCAGATCAGCAGTCTTCCCCATGATTGTGTAGCCTAGTGAACCAAACTGAGAGACCATTTTGAAGGCTCAGGAAACCTTTGCAGGTGTTTTGAGTTCATTAGCTGATTGGCATGTCACCGTATTCTAATTTGTTGAGATAGCGAATTGGTGGGTTTTTGTTAAATGTGAGCCAAAATCATCACAATAAAAAGAACCAAAGACTTAAACTACTTCAGTCTGTGTGCATTGAATTTATTTAATACACGAGTTTCACAATTTGAGTTGAATTACAGAAATAAATTAACTTTTCCACGACATTCTAATTTATTGAGATGCACCTGTACATTGAAAAAACACCAACAACACGTTGGCCGGCGACAGCCATGACGTCACTACCGGTGCGACTATAGTATAAATAGGTGCCGGGAGAACACATCATCCACTTCTTCGTCTTCATTGACTGTTTTGTTTGAAGCGTGCATTTCTGTGGTAAGAGTGATCTCTATTCATATCATTATGGCGAGCACTAGCAAAGCGTTTAGAGGATGTGTGCATCCGTGTTGACTTTGTTTAACATCTGATGAAACACACAATCTATGCGTTATTTGTTTGGGCAAAGGGCACACACACGCAATGTCTCTGAGGGGGCAATCGGCATGCACTGCAAGCGTTTTTCCAAGGAAAAAGCTCTGCTCTCTTTTGTCTCTCTTTTCGAGGAAAAGAGGGGCAGTCATCTGCTTCCCGTAATTCAGGGCCCGCCGCTGCTGAGGCACATAGGAGAATGAGCTTGTGGGGATCGCAGGTGGATCTGGCCGATGAGTTTTAAGAGGGGTTTTCCCTCTCGCAATCGTCGGCTGTGGACGAGAGTGAGCCGCGGGAGGATGATGTTATTTAATTAACATTTTCTGATCCAGCAGCCAGTGCTCTGCTGGGTTCAGCCCAGCAAAAGCAAGAAATGTCTGAGGAGGGCAAAGAAGCTGAGGCTGAGCCTTCCCAATCCTCCTGCCCTGCGTATGATGAGCTTTTGAACATTATGGATTGCGCTGTGAAGCGGGCAAAGAAAGTGACGTTGCGAGGTATCTCGATGAATGTTATTTTTCTGGCCATAACCTGCCAGCTCAGGTGAGCCTTCCTTTCTTCCTGTTTTCCATACAGAGATTGAGAAGGAATGGAAGAGGCCATTTTTCCTCAAGCATCCATCGATTCCAGCATACGAGTTATGCCAACATCGA